CAGTCCGCGTGACCCTGAAGCCTGCTCTCTCCTTGCCCTGCTCACGCCCCTCTCCGCCCTCCCCCTCCCCAGTATGGTCTGAAGAAGAAGGAGGAGAAGGAGGCGGAGGAGAAGGCAGCCTTGGAGCAGCCCTGCGAGGGCAGCCTGACAAGGCCCAAGAAGGCCATCCCCGCGGGCTGCGGGGACGAGGAGGAAGAGGAGGAGGAGAGCATCCTGGACACGGTGCTCAAGTACCTGCCTGGGCCGCTGCAGGACATGTTCAAGAAGTAACCAGCCCTCACGCCCTGTCCCCACGCCACTCATTACTTTTTTGGGGGAGGGGGGGTCTTTCTTTTCTTTTTATTCAGTTAAGTCTCAGTTCTGAAGGAGAAAACCTCGGTTGGCCTCTGCCCCCTTCTCTGGCCGGGGGCTCCTGCCCCTCAGCAATCCTTCCCCCCCCTCCCCGCCCCCCACATCCCAGGGTATCCGGCCCCTGCCTCGCTCCCAAGACGCTTGGAAAAGGGAAGACAGCCTTTCCCAGCGGGGGCACTGAACCCACTGTAGGAAGCACTAGAGCCTCTTTGGGAAGCCTAAGGCCTATGCTAGTGTGGGAACCCCCATACATTCCTTCATGCGCCCCACTGCCAGGAGGACCACTGTCCACAGCCAGCCAAAGTAATGACACATTCCAGCCCTGCCCAGCATGCTGACCTTTGGCACCTGACCCCCAGGGGGCCTCGAGGTCAGGGCAGGGGCACTGAACGGCCTGGCTCTGAGGAAGGGAGCCAGGGTAAGCCAGCCTGTATTCTGGGCAGGAGGCTGGGGTCTCCTTCTTCCCTCCCCGTGATGACACCCAGCCCAGGAACACCCCTCCGTCGGCCCCTCCCTTAAAAGGCGCAGCCCCTGCCGAGCCAGTCCCTCCACATGGATCCTCTCTGGACTTTAACTCATTTGTGGAGGGGCCTGGGGTAGGGCAGCTCCTTGTTCCCTGCCCTCCACTTAGGTCCTGGGGCCCCACTGCCAGTCTGGGCCCAGCACGCCCAGACAAGGGTCTGCCCAGGCCCCCCTAAAACCACTTGGAGCCATTGGGCAGCAATGGCCCATGCCATGGGACACCCCCATTGGTCAGCCAAGCTGCCCCCATTCCTATCCACCCCTCCTCCGCACCTCGTCCTGTCCATGTGCTTCCAGGACTCCATGGTCCCCCGGAGGACCCTTCCTGGCGAATGCCCCAATCCTCTGGGGAGAAGCCAGTCCCCCCACTTGACAGAAGGCATCTGTCCATTCATCTCACTGGCCAAGAACAAACTCTCCTCTGGGATGTGTGAGAGCACTTGTCCCTCCCACCCCAAACCGTAAGGCCTCCTGCTCAGTCATGTGAGAACTGGGGGGCCATGAAGCAAAGAAGAGAGGGAACTGTATGTCCATTCATGCATGGGTGTGCGTGGCAGAGACTGTTTCAGCAATCGTGTGTCCAGAGATGGTACATCTAGGTGTATGATTAGCGTCTGTGTGTGTGTCTTGAGATTGTGTGTGTGTGTGTTAGTCATCATGTCTCTGCGTTAGAGATTGCGTGTGTTAGGCAGCCTTGCGTATGTGTGCTTGTCGGAGGGGGTGCGCGTGAGTTGAGATTGTGCCGTATGTGTGTGCTAGCCATCTCAGAAGTGTGTTAGAGCCTGCATGTGTTAGCTTGTATTTGCATGTGTTTTCAAAGCAGCATGTGAGTCGGGAGCACTGGGCATGTGTTAGATGTCGGGCCGTGTGTGTGGAGAGTTGCTGGAAGTTCTCGGACTGCGGTGTGCACGTGTGTGGCTCTGCAAGGGCCGTCGTGTGCAGAATGTGCCCTTGGGGAGAAAGAACATGGGTGAGATGCCCCCTTTCGGCCCCAAAACCATTGGTCATAAGTAGCCACATCCAACAGGAGACCTTGTCCTTGGCCCAGAGTCCTCACACCCTTGGGGGGTTCCTGCCTGAGGTCCTTCGAAGTCACTGGGACAGACCCAGGCGGTGCCCCAAGAAGCCATGCTGGGCCCCTGCCAGGGCCTACCCCAAATGCAGGAGCCAGGGAGGGGGCGACTTGCCTGCCCCTGAAGCCCCTGTCCCATTGACCCCCGTTTGCATTCTGCAGGTTTTCCATTTTAGTGGATTTATGCTTTTATTTCAGAGAGAGACATGTGTCTTCTCTGTCCGTTTCCAATAGTTAAAGCCATATCAGTTAGACTGCAATACTTTAAAGACGAGACAAAACAATCCACATGTTTAGGGAACCGGAAAAGTCCCCTGGTCTGTCCCTTCTCTGGGGAGCAGGGGCTCAGCAGCTCCGGCTCCCTAGACTTGCTCTTCTCCTCCTCCCCCGCCTCTCCCCTGTGCCCCGTGTCCTGCCCCCCAGGGGGCCTGTGTCTGTGTCTGTGCCTGTGTCTGTGTTGGGGAGCCACCTCGCACCCCCACTGTCTGCTTGTCTGTGTGTGTGTGTTATCCCGGGCAGGATGGTCATTCTCGAGTGGCCTGGAGCAGAGGCTGGCAGGGTGCGTCCAGGGGCCCCGGGCCTCCCCAGACCCTGCGCATGAGCCTCATCTGGACACGAGGGTGGGTTCTAAGTGTTCAGAAAGGTCTCCCTCCCCCTCAACAGGGGCCCACAGACCTTGAAGGTGGGGCCAGGGCACAGAGGGTGCACACGGGCAGCAGACAGAGACTGAGGCCTCGGAGCTGCAGATGAGCAGGGGGACCCGGCCGTGCAAGATATCCCTGTGGGCCCGAGGGAGCCCGGACCCTGGAGGGTGGCCCTGGTGGTCTGCAACGGCCCGCTGCACCCCCAGAGCAGGCTCAGGGCTCTTCCCAAATGAGAGCGCCCTCCAGCTGGCCGGCCTGGTCTGCCGTACTTCCCAGGCTCCGACTCCTCTGGCCAGCTCTCGAGCAGCAGGACCGAAGGTTCTAGAGGCAGCAGCAGGGGTAGAATTCCGGCCTGGGGCACACCTGGCTCCAGCCACTGCCAGGTGACCCCTCTCAGGTCAAAGGGACACAACGACTGCCATTCCTGACACAGACCGGACTTTGGAGGGAAGCCAATGTGCAGCCCAGAGAGGGTGTCATGTGCAACACATCCGTGGGACACAAAATATGTGTGGGTGCTCTAGCAGGGAAGGGGTAATCACATGATGTGCCTGGGACGGGAGGTGTGTGTGGCCTGCGGGGAGGGGGGGTAGGCATGACACACTTGGGAGGCAGAGGTGGGGGCGGGGAGGGAGAGGCCCCAGACTCAGCACGTACACACAACATGCCTGGGGGACACCCCAGCTAGGGAAACAGGAAGAGCGATCTTTGCACATGGAGAGGCTAGAGCACGATGCGAGGGAGTGCACACCGCCCAACACGGGCGGGGGCTCGCGGGGGCTCGCGGGGGCTCGCGGGGGCGGCCACCGCCAAGGAGCGGGGACAGCGCTCTTCTGCGTCTCCTGGTTTCGGTGCTGGGGACAGGCCGAGATCTCCTCGGGAAGCTCCTGGAGGATGTGCTCACCAGCAAAGCTGCGTGGGGTCTCCTCTGATCACAAGCAGGAAGTCAAGAGACCTGGTGTGTGCGTGTGTGTGTGTGTGTGTGTGTGTGTTAGATAAAAGATAGATAGATAGATAGATAGATAGATAGATAGATAGATAGATAGATAAAAAAGAGAAAGAGAAGGGGAGAGAGAGACAGAGAACAGAAATATTTCAGCCCCACACCCTCACGTGGGACAGCCGGTGGCAAAGCAGCTGCCCCAAAGGCTGGTGGCTGCAGTGAAACGGGGCAGACCCCCAGCCCCGGAGCCCCCAGCAGCTAGCTGGCAGGGCAGCCTACCCCCACCGCCCACCTGCTCCACCCTTCCAGGCTCCTGCAGGCCCTCGACTGCATGGGGGCGGGGTGGGGGTGGCTGGGGTCTGACTGGCTCAGACGAGGGGGCGTCCCCCAGGCCTGAGGACATGCCCCCACATGTCCCCTGCTCTCCTCTCCACTCCTGCCACCCGCCCTCCTCATGGCGGAGCGAGGGGAGGTGCCCACGCTGGCCCTGGGGCAGGGTGGGGCGTCCTGTGAGCCCGGCGAGAACGGCCACCCTGCTCGTGTGGGGGTACCCTTTTCTCACGTCTGTGCTGTGTCCTTGTTGCTCTGCTTCTTTTAAATGTGTCAGTGCCTGGGGGAGGGGAGGGGCACCCTCTCATGCCCCCCTGAACCTGACCAAAAGCCATGGCTGTTGTTCCCCCTTTGTATGATGCAGACGCTAAGCTGTACCAAACCAACCGTGACAACAAAGACCTTGTACAGCAGCTCTCTGTCTGTCCTCTCCTGTCCGTCGGCGCCGCCGGGGGTACTTGGGGCACCAGCTGAGATGCGGGGGGCCGACCCAGAGAGCTCAAGAGGCCCCGGAAAACCTTCAGTCTTACCCTTGGTTCTGACATGGACACTGTGGAAATGACCCCAGAAATCAACTGAGGCCAGAGTCACGGCTGGCCCTAGGGGTTCATGGCCACTCACTCCCGCCCTTCGAAGTCACCTGTACAACCCCAGGAGCTGATGGTCCAGCCTGCTCATAAAGTCCCACACCCATCTCTGGCCACTCCTAGCTAATCGGTGTGACATCCGGCCTAGAGCCGCCACATGTGTGGACGAGGTCTGTCGTTGGTCATCCCACCATCACTGATGAAATGCCTACGCTCGGCCAGGCCATGGGCAGGAGGCTAGATGTCAGAGGACACCGCTCAGCATTGCTCCTGGACACGGCCGCTCCCCAGGCCTTTATGAGGAGCCGGGACTAGCCAGAGCCCCCTGCACCCTCGCTGCCCTGCACCACCGCCCTGCCTTAAGCGAGGCCTCACCGTCTCCACCCGGCCGGGCACCTGCCCTTCCCCACACCCTGGTCTCCTGGCCTCTGCCTCTTCCCTCCCGCCCATCCTTCCCCACCACCCGCCCTGCCTAGTAGACTCACCTAAAACAACACAAACTTAACCACGTCACACCCTGCCCAGCACCCGTCGTGGCCTATAGGGTCACATTGAGATTGTCAGAATGGCCCCATGTGGTATGAACCAACCCTGCTAGGCCAGACCCACACCCAGTTCTGTGCTCCAGGCCCCCCAGTCCCCGCGCGCACCGTGCTGTCTCATGTCTGCACATGCTGGCCCCTCTGCCAGGGGTGAATGGCACTCTCCCCCTCCCTGGTACACGCCTCCCAGGTTTCCAGACCCGGGTCACACGTTACCTCCTCTGTGAGGCCCACCCTGTCACAGCCCCGGCCCCTCGCCCACAGGAGAGTCTGTTGCTGTGCCCATACGATGTAGAGCATCATGGCCGGGGACTCAGTGCTGGGTGTTCCAGTGGGTTCTTCCACTGGGTATCTTGCGAGTCATCTTGAACAAGCCGCTTAACCCCTCTGAGCGTCCGCTCACGAGTAAAAGGGGGTGATGAGAACTGCTCTGACCGCGACAATTGTGAGGGGTAAGTGGGGTCCTGCGCCCACGCTC